ACTCCAAAACACCAGTATTCTTTAGAGGAAGTTATATTGTTTGGCAATTAAAGCAAAGATTAATACAAATCTACAAACAAATAAAATTATAAACTACAAAAGAAGGAAGCTGCAGCACGTTCGCCATTGATTACGATTCTTGGCCATATCCGATAGCGTTTCGAGCCATCTCTCGGACTCCAACCAGGAAGACGTGACACACCAACCGATGCAAATCTAGCACAAAAATCCTTCATCCCACGATGCCACGTCATGGACTGACCACCTCTCCACCTTTTCAATCCCGTCCCAGGGCTAGCTAGTAGAGACCTGTACGAAAGCCTCTGGGATGACATTCGTAGCACATGTTCAAGCCCCCGAAGCCGGTATTAGCAGATGACAACACTCAATGAATGGTGATCTCCACTGTGTCTAAACACACGTCCCTGGACCTAAGAGTTACTCACACAATGATGCCATCGAGCGCCAGCAATTCTACCGAGTCAGCGATGATCGAATACGCAGAGCCGCCGCACATCCTCAGCTCGGAGAGGACAGGTTTAACAGGCGTAGATCAAAACAGCCTGCACCGAAGCATTGTATACCTGACCTTTGACAGCCAGGCTAAAGTCACGACGGCGACAGAGGTGGCTCACGTTGATGTATGTCACCCTAGCCTTCATGACACGGTTGGAAATCGTATCCGTCACCCCTCCTCCGCCAGCACTCACACAACTACCCAGATACACAAATTTATCAACAACTTCAAGCGGTTCACCTGCAAGAGTGAGTGCAGGTACAGGCTCCTGTCAATCTTGTAACAGCACTTTGCATTATTACGGCGCAAAGCAAATACCATACTAACAGACACTGATCGCCAACTGATTAAGTGCGATTTGGGCAGCCTGCATGCTATTGCACAGTAAGACGATATCGCCTGCATACTCGAGGTCGAAAAGTCCATCTCCAGGTAGCAGATCTACACCACCTTCACACACATCCTTCAGAACTGACTTCAGAATGTCATCGATGGCAAAGTTAAAGAGAAATGGAGAGATTGGGCAACCCTGTCTAACCCCACTGTTGGTTGGGAACAGTGATTATAGTTGGTTGTATGTCCTCACTCTACCTGAGGTGTTTCTGTATAGGGCTTTCAAGATGTCAACAAATTTCTCAGGTACACCTCTCTCTAACAGACAGTTCCAGAGCACAGTTCTGTCCAACGAATCGAAGGCAGCCCTAATATCAAGAAACACAACGATCGTTGGCCTGCAATACGTGTGGCGGTGTTCCAACAACTGACGAAGGGTGAACACATGATCGATGCATCCACGATCTGAACGAAACCCAGCCTACTCTTTTCGAATCAATCCCTGCCTGCGAAGCAAAACAGCAGCCAATATTTTAGACGCAACTGGTAGCAGACTGATACCCTTATGATTGTCATATGAGTTACGTCGACCCCTTTTACAGATGGGGACGATAATGGCTTCGTTCCACATTGATGGTACACTCTCAGTCTCCCATACCTTCCTGAACAACCCAGTTAGAGCCATTGTGAGAGTCTCACCACTATCTTTAAAAAAGAGCCGGGGGCAGATTTTTGGGCCGGGTGCATTATGGCGTCTTAACGCTTGGAGTTCCTTACGGACCTCCGCTTCAGGTGGTGGGTTGGTACTAAACAACCAAGAAGCACTGGAGCTAGTGACAGCAGATACTGAAGCTGGTGGCCAGCTAAACTGTTTCCCGAAGTGCTCTGCCCAGCGTTCCAGGCGTCTTTTCAGGCTGGTAATTGATGTGCCATCTGCCTCACAGACACCTCGTTTCTTGCTGCAGGTGGCTCGGATGAGCTGGAACAGCTTCCGACTGTTGCCAGATGCAGAAGCTGACTCCATCTCGCATGCACGTTCTGACCACCAGGCCTCGCGGTCCTTACGTAAACACTTTCTTATCTTGCGCGTCAGCGCCCTTCGCTTATTGCTGTATTCTCTACCAGCCGGGGTGAACCGGCGTTCATCAGGGAGTTGCAATGAACTCGCAGAAACCCAGTGGTTTTTAACGAGGCATTCTTTCAAGCCGCAAGCGGCTACACCCTTTGCATGGCACCATGCAGATGAAGCCAATGTTCATCTTTACTGTTTGGGGGGTTGCTGACAAGCATTGATTGTAACTCATTCTGGTATTTCTAAGAAGTAGCATCTGTTACTAGTTTGCCCACACCAACGTTAAGACGATGTCTTTTATGAACCCCACCAAATCACAAGACGAACCTGGTACACTGCCTGTATTCGACATAGAACTTTGCACATATCTGCGGCAGTTCAAGTCGCCACACTCCCTGTAGCACACAAAGCCAGAGAAATGCATAATATAGACAGTAAACAGAGGTGAGAGACAAAGGAATAGTAGTAACGAAGACCAACATAATTTCATTGGAAATCATAAGTTACAAGGAGTGGATGCGCCTGCGCCAGCCATTGAGAACGAGGATTTTAAGCCATGTCACCAATTGTTTCTAACCATTCGTTTTTACCATCCCGAGGACCCCATCCAGTCAGGAAGTCTACACCTTCCTACGTGGCTGGCTGGCTAAAACTAACTCCTGTAGATTTTATTGACTGGTGTCATGTTTTGGTTTGACCGTTACTAGCTCTTTTCCAGCCTGACCCTATGTGTCAGCTAACATTGCCCGTCGTGGAAGGCGATGACTAGGCATACGTAACACATGTCCTAACCATATCAGTCGATGTAATTTCACAGCCTCGTGGACTGATCTGCCCTCCTTACCTACCACTCGACGCCTAACCTGAATATTGCTCACCTTATTATACCACTTCACACAGGAGATAGAACGCAGACACCTATGATGAAAAACAGCTAACCTTTTCATGTCTTCCACTCTCAATGGCCAGGTCTAACAGCCATAAAGGAGGACGGAGCGGACTGATGAGCAGTACACACACCCTTTGGTCGACAGACGGATATCACGTCTACGCCAGGGACGACGTGAACTGGCATATGCGAAACTAGCCCTCTGTATCCATTCTGAGATTTCGTCGGAGATCAACCCGTTGGGGCTGATGGTACTTCCCAAATAAGTGAAGCGGTCAACGTGCTCTACCACTTCACTTCCTATTTCTAATCTAGGGGTCGGTGAAGTCCAATCCTGCAGCATCATCTTACATTTTATAGGGGCGAATCGCATGCCAAACATTCTTAGATTGCAGCTCAAGGTGTTCAGTAGACTCTTCATTTTGTCAGCATCCTCGCCTAGAAGGACTATATCGTCTGCATATTCTAAGTCAACGAGATTATTCCCTGGTAGCAAGTTAATCACTGAGTCTTTGAAGTGAGTTAGGGTTAAACCCATTAGTACACCTATAATGAAATTGAATGAAAATGGGGATAATGGGCATCCCTGACGGACACCACTAATCGTCACCACTTCAGATGACAACTCACCGCAATCCCTCACCAGGCTGCATGAGTTCGAGTAGAGTGAGTGCCTTGATCAGTGCAATGTATTTTCTCGGCATTCCCTTCACAGCCAAGCATCGCCAGAGTACCTCTCGATCGACAGAATCGAATGCCGCCTTTAGGTCAAGAAATATAATGATTGTTGGACACCGGTAACCATGCCTATGTTCTAGAATCTGTCGAAGAGTGAAGATATGATCAATACACCCTCTACCTGGCCTAAAACCTGCCTGGTTTTCTCGTGTTTGTGCCTCCCGAGCACCACTTAGTCTACGCAGTATTATTGAGCCTAGGATTTTAGATACTATATTAGCCAAGCTAATCCAGGCATGTGCTCCAGAAGGAGGGTCTGATTTATATGAGTGGTTGTATATCATCATTCATAGCACGCAGTAGTACTAACTAAACCGCAAACTGATTTATTCATTTAAAACAATTCTAAAATTCAATCAGTTAAAACTATGTCTATATTCTTCTTTCACTAAAATATCATAACAATATAATATTAACAAACAGCATTTTCAATGTTTCAATAGATGTGTTAATTTTATTTTAATGATATATATATATAATATCTGCAATAAACCCATAAATATGTAAAGAAAACTAGACGTCAGTGTGCATTTGAACGGCTTGTATATGCGTGTATCATTCACAATTCGCTTCATTTTCTGTTTTAGCAAAATGAGAAAGTCAAGGTTTTTGTGGTGTTGTACACGTGTAACACAATTTCTCTTCAGTTTAGAAAAAAATATATATGTATGCTCAATGAAGAAAGAAACATAACAATAATAAGATCAGAAAGGTAGGTTAGCGAGTTAGCAAGTACAAAAGAAAGACGAGACGACACAAGTGAAGGCTACATAAAAAGGGGAAATAAATGGGGGGACAGGGAGAGAGAGAGAGAGATTATGCGTGTCTTTCGCTAAATATCCACACTTCTTAAATTTGATGATGCCTAAACAACATTAAGAAAAATAAATATAATAAATTTGTCTGTTTATTTGTTCACTTTACCAAAATGCATGAGGCACTTCACAAAATAGAATACACAAACACAATGAGGATAATAGAAGAAATTTAATAATAATAATAATAATAACGATAATTCTGGCAGTACTGTAAGGACTGGTGCGTGCGTGCATGCATGCAAGCAACACAAGAGAATGTATATAGACGAATGCACTGAAATAAGGAATTTGCACAGAAACCTCTACATAAATAATTTACACGGATAGTGGATGAAAAACGTGAGAAGAGAAAACAATAGAACAACTAAGTGAGATTACACCTTCAATTATATATATATATATATATATATATACGTGTGTCACAAAGACATGGCTGTATAGATAAATCGGTAGATATACAAGTAGGTACAAGAAGTAAGCAAAATAACCAAAACAAAATAAACTCGTTGTTTTTTTTCCTTTCGCTCATCATCATTATTACTCTTATTATGATTATTATCATCATTATTATTATTACCATTATTATCTTCTGTTACTGGTTTCTGACAAATGACAACTGTTTCCAATGTCAAGTTATGTTAATCCCCCGTATTTACTCAACAATTCATCGCATATCTTCGTTAATTCTTCATTTTCTCTAGTCTAATAAAATAAACAGAAAGGAATAGAAAAAGAAACACGCAGATATTTTCATGTTATTAACAGATATGCATAGACTAGTTTAAATTATTGATTTTTGTTGTTGTTGAGGGATTTGGATTAATTTCACTGTAGACTTTATCGCGAATCTATAATCTAAACATCATTTTCCAACTGCTCGATGGCTACTGGATGGATGTCCTGAAGTTGACCTGTGAGGCGTATCATGCCAGGTGAGGCGGACGCTCATCAAAAGAAAGGCATTAGTTGAAAGAGCGACGTAACATAAAATAAGACCAACAGTACACAATATGCCAACTACGGGCGGAACTGATGATGATATCGAAGCGACGACAGGGAAAGCAAGGCAAGCTTTCATTACTTTCAAGCCTGTGTGGAGATCAACAGCACTCCTCAGCATGAAAAATAAGATCCGGATTTTCAACACCACTGTACGGATTAGAGACTTAGCCAGCGCGTCACGAAGGGCACTTCGAACAAACTACACACCTTCATCAACAGCTGTGTTCGCTCAATACCACTCAATATCAGATGGTCAGCCAGAAAAGATCGACAACAGGGATCTCTGGCAATGAACGAACCAACCAGCAACCGATTGTGCACTAAATCTACAGGAAGAAATGGAGGTGGATTGGCCATACTCTGAGAAAACTACCAAGTGACATCACACGACAGGCAATCCGAACGGGAAGCGGTAAGTTGGTCGTCAGTGCGAGGGTGAAGTGAAATGGAGGATGTGACGTGAAGAGGGGATGAAAGCATGAGGGTAGACGTGGAGCTAGGTGGAAACGTTGGCAGAGAACCGAATTCAATGGAGACGTGCAGCTGAAGCCCTATGTTCCTCTAGGACTTAAATGAAATAATAATATAATATGCAGCTTTTCATCATTTGTTTTGAAGAGTGCTGTTATTGCCTATGAGAGGTAAAGAGAACTGGAGTGGACAATGTTAATTAAAAGACATGATGAAGGCAGAGGAATACATCGTTGGACAAATTGCATTGTAATACAATATAACATTAAATGCAAAATCACCTTGTAACAACAGAAGACAAGGGACAGGAAACAGATCGTTTATTGAGAAAATCAACAGATACTGATCGATTTTCATGTACATTACTGTCTGCAGAGAAGCAATCTCTTCTGATTGGTTATTCTGTTATCTCTTTTTGGCCATTTCTCAGAAACTTACTTTTACTTTACTTCGGCTATCTCCTACGGGAGGATGAGTCAGCTTCATGAACATCTCGAATCGTTTGTAAGAGAGTTCATGAAGTTTCATGGGAATTTGGTACGAGTGATGTCCCCAGAATCGCTCGGCCTTTTGTTTGAGAGTGCAGCTCTAGCCTTTACACAACCAAGTGTGACCTACAAGGCAGTAGGAGTGGAGTAGGGAGTCCACTATCCATTGGAAGCCGGTGACCGGAGTTCGGTTCATACGCCTTTTTGAATGGGGCCAGACATCCAGGACATCCAACAAGCCCTTTGTCCATACGTCTTCCGGTGAGCTCCAGTGAGCTTCATACGCCAGTCGTTGGAGGTTTGGAATCAGAGTTTAGCCATCTCCCCTAGACTGTCATCCAATGGGCAGTCAACCCGGTGAAGAGCGCCGGGCATCCGCTTTCGCCCTCTCACTTTGGTGAAAAACACCTCCGCCACGTGAAGGCAGTGAGTAGGACTTCCTCAGGAGAGGCTATGTAAGACGCCTGGTCATATGGGAGCATTTCAAGAGGTGTGCGGAGGGGTGGCCAACCCGCAGCGCAAGGCACCCACCCCCGACCATCCTGAGGCTTTCTCGGAAAGCTAAGCCATGTATCTGCGAATCCTATTTGCACACGTTAAGTCTGCTGTGATTGGTTGGTGATTTTCTCAAGCTAAAGGTATGTTATGGTTTTTCTCATGACGCTGATTCGGGACGTGAACATTGACGTAAATTGCTGTCTACAATTTCGGCTTGCAGCCAGCTCTCTCACCACAACCGTATCAACACAGAAGTCCGAAAAAAAAACAATCTAACTCTTCATTTACCAAAATAAAACTAGAAAGTAGCAGCGGAAATTTATTCCAAAGGGACACACATCATACTTATCACGCCTTAACAACAACACATCATTACGATTAGCATACAAAATCCCTTAACACCGGTTCTTCTAACCATATTGTGCAGCACTAAACCAAATAATCGAAATGCGTATATAGTAAATAATAATTATATATGTCGAAACCAAGTTCACTTTTAACAGTTTGAAAAAATTTGGGCATTGGGTATATGATATTCATTATAATAAAGGTTGTTTGCATTTCCCAATGAATGAAAAACAAAATGATATTGTTGTTTTTACAGAAGTTTCGCTACTGAATGCTGCTGCTGATAGCTTTATCAAAGTATTATTAAACCGGAATTTGGAAAAATTTATTTCCCGATACGAATTTAAAACAAGCAATAAAAGTTAATAAAGCAGGATTTAATGAATTCATCAAATTTCGGTAGAACTCGTCAGCTGAATACTCTACATACACAGATATATACTTTTGAAGTTACATTGGGAGATATAGGACTGATAAGTAAATAAACTACATTGAATTAGTCATGCAGAAAGACAGGTGCGAATGTTTTTCCAGGTCATGTTCAATTAGGTAAGGGGAGAGAGAGTATGGGAGATCAAAATTAAGATAAATTGCATTACGCTTCAATTACATCACTTAGATAAACAATTAGACATTAGAGAATTTAACAAGACTTGCAACCAGAGGGATGTCAATAGTAATAGTTATAATAACAATGATAATAATAGTAGTGTTGAAGTGAGTTAAGATAATGCTACTGATAAAGGATAGTTTTAAATGAATCAAGAATAATAATAATGAGAATAATAATAGTAATAATAATAATAAGAGGTAGAATTATAAGTAAAACGTATTACCATGGTAGATTCAGAGTCACGACCATCTCCTTTTGTACACAGAGACCTGGTTTGTAAACTCGAATTGCACAAGCCTCTGCAATTGCAAGCATCTTCTTGTTTCTTTGTCTGCTGACAATGGTGAATGACTTGACTGCGTCGATATCATGCCCGTAATCCACAAGATGCTTTGTTATTGAGGATTTTGGCACTTTGAACTCAGCTGTTTTCAACCATTTTGGCAAATGCTCCATCATGCGAGTAGACAATCTCCTTTCCGTACGACATATGTATTTGCTTCCACAAACACACTCAAATTGATATACGCAGTTTGAAGTGTCGAGGATTGGCGACTGGTCTTTCCCAGACTGTTGAAGCACTCGCTTAGTGGTGTTAAGGAAAACAAGTTTTGCAGCATAAGTTCTCTTGATGGCTTTGTCGAGTCTTTGTTTGACTACTTCCTGTACATCATCTCCTTTAAACGGCAAACTGATATAGACAGGTTTCTTCGGAGCTGTTTGGATTGTTTTGCAGGGGGTGTTTTCTTTAGAGTATTTATTAATGAACTTCTCAGGATATCCATTCTTAGATAAGATATCCTTCAGGGATTTCATTTCATGCCCAACAGTACTGTCAGAACAAATTTTTCGTGCTCTATTGAACAGTGTTCTGACTAAGTTCCTTTTATACTGGATTGGAACAAAACTCTTGAAATGCATGTACTGTCCTGTCCATGGGGATTTTCTAAATATAGATCTTTCGATTGTGCCATCATTCATTTTCGCCAGAAAAACGTCTAGGAATTTGATAGTATCATTTTCCTCGTGTTCTACTGTGAAATTGAGATTTGGATGGCATGAGTTGAATTTTATCAGCATGTCTTCGGCTTTTGATCTGCTTCCACAGGCAATAAAAATGTCATCAACATATCTTAGGTATATCTGTGTATGTAGGTATATGTCTGTAGGTATGTAGGTATATATCTGTGTATGTAGAGTATTCAGCTGACGAGTTCTACCGAAATTTGATGAATTCATTAAATCCTGCTTTATTAACCTTTATTGCTTGTTTTAAAACCGGAATTTACAAAATCTCAGCATATATATAACAAAGAGTTAAGAGATGTACTATTACCTTTGATATTTGGTTTAGTGATCTTCATTGCTATTTTGACTTTCAATATGTCCTTTTAACTTGACCTATGTCTATTTTCTCACCTCTTGACTCTTTGTTATATATATGCTGGGATTTTGTAAATTCCGGTTTAATAATACTTTGATAAAGCTATTAACAGCATTAAATAGCGAAACGTCAGTAAAAGCAGCAATGTCGTTTTGTTTTTCATTCACTGGGAAATACAAAAACCTCTATTATAAATAATAATTAGTTTATAAACATATCCATAACTTGTAAAAACATGTAGATCTATGGATCATTCATTTAGGTCTCTGACTTTCAGCCAGTGAGAGTATACATTCGAGCTCTTTACAGTTCACCGAGGTTTGGTGTAATGTTATTTCTATCATCACTGTTGAAAACGTTCCATTTATTACAAGCAAAATGTAGTCGACAACAATCCAGGGAACAAATTAACAAGTTAGTATTGTTGAATATAAATAATCTAATAATAATAATGATAATATAAACGCGTGGCTATTCAACAAACATGAACAATAACAAACCTTCTGCTGTAACTGAGATTCAAGACTTTTAACTTGAAGTTCAGCTATGCGTAATGACGCCTGTAGTCGAGTTTGATTTGTTTCAAATTCTTGTTTTACTGTCTCAGTGTCTTGGTTGACTCTATGCGCGAGGAGAATAAAGAGCGAGAAAAAAATTGTTAACATTAGTGGAAAAACAAACACTTCTTCAGTTTTACACCATTAAAACAGTTTAAAACATGAAATAATTTAATAATACAATTAAGAAATTAGTCTACATAGTATCCCAGTCATTCCCTTCATTAATTAGCATTCCCGAGTGGGAGAGAAAAACTTCAAGCTTTGGAGTACCAGCAGCGCTGTTGTTCTTTTCACGGGGTATGGTTGCGAACCACACACGTAACCTTGCTTTTTTTCGGGGCTTATTACCAACTAAGCGAGGTTTAGGAGTGTACATCGACCGAGAATCGAAACAGGACCACGTGCGTGGTAAGCGAGCATTATAACATTGAACCATTTATTATTATTATTGTTTCCTTTAATTCCTAGAGGAACATAGGGCTTCAGCCGCACGTCTCCATTGCGTTTGGTCAATCCATTTCCATTTCTTCCTGCCTATTTGTTTCACAATTGGTTCCTGCTGTGTTGGTTCGCTCATTACCAGAGATCCCTGTTGCTGATATTTTCTGGCTGGCCATCTGATCTTGAGTATTGAGCGAAGACAACTGTTAATGAAGGTCTGTAGTTTGTTTGAGGTACTCTTCATGACGCACCAAGTTTCTGATCCGTATAGTAAGTAGCACTGACTTCACATTGGAGTTGAAAATCCGGATCTTATTTTTGATGCTGAGTAGTGCTGTTGACCTCCACACAGACTTGAGAGTAGTGAAAGCTTGTCTTGCTTTCCCGATTCTTACTTTGATATCCTCGTCAGTTCCGCCTGAAGTTGAGACGATGCTTCCAAGGTAGGTGGAAGAGGTTGTTTCTTTCAGGTTCCTTCCATTTATGCTGATCGTTGTCTGTTGTTGTTGTTCTTGTCCAGGAATCTTCATCACCTCTGTTTTCACTATGTTCACCTGAAGTCCTGTCTTTGATGCTTCTTCTGTCAACTTGTTGCTTTTCGCTTGCATATCTTCCAGTTTGTGGGAAATCAGACATCTATCATCGGCGAAGTTCAGATCCTCCAAGTTTTTTGTGTGAGTCCAATTTATGCCTGTGTCCTCATTGCCCGCTGTTTGTCACATTATCCAGTCTACAGCAATCAGGATCGGGATTGAACCATTTAGATATTAGATGTTACTGAGATACAAAAGTAATTCAATTACGTATGAAGTTCACATATCAGTTAGACAATGTTTTCGTGTTCAAACTTTAAAACATCAATTTAGTTGGAACAAAAACACTGGCTGCAATCACTACCCTGAAGGTGAAATTTAAAGGAAGTCACTTTCTAACTTGTCCAGACAGGTAGGTAGCATAGATGAGAGTGTTAAAGTCAGCCAGATTAGGAAAAGTGTAAGACGGACACTCATTACTATGAAACCAGAGTGAAAATCTACTGTACTAAGCATAAGAAACAAGATCCGGGATCTTCAACACTCATGTCAAGTCAGTCAGTGCTTCTATATTGTTCAGAGACTTGACATGTCGGGCTGCAGACGTTTATATCAACAACTACCTTCGCTCCATACTGAGGATCAGATGGCCAGAAAGGATAGGTGACAATGAACTATGGGAACGAACTAACCAAGAACCTATGCAGGAGGAAATGGAGAGAGAGCTCGAGCATACACCAAGGCAACCGTTGAGTGACATCACGTGCCAGATAAACCTTAGAGTGGGACCCAAATGAGAATGGACGAGTTGGGCGTCCTAGGGTGTAATAGAGGAGATGAGAACTTATAGTCAACTGTGTAGTCAGCTAAAGAGAAGTGCAGAGAACAGGATTAAATGGAGATGTGCCGTTGAAGCTGTATGTTCCACTCGGAAGGTAAGAAAATAATAACAACAATAATATAACAGTATGTTGAAGTAAAATTATGGCAGAATGAAATATCAGTTACTGAAATTACAAAATCATTACTACTTAGTATCAAACTTTAACGACCAATGTCTGATGACCTAGAACTATTCGGATGACAACAATTCACGTGTATCAACCAATATACCATTATTGTAAGAAATATGATACAGCTATGTGTCAATGTTAGTGAACATCGAATGGTTTGTTCATTCGAATTGATCTCCATTTGGCGGGAGACAACAATGGCAACCATTGGTTAATCGCATGCTGGTTGGTAGAAGACTGAAGAATTACTATCAGAAGTATTATTGTGGGTCTTATTAACCTTTATTCACAGACTCTGCATATAGTAACTTGTAATCCTGTTTCGTAATCGGCGGAGGAATAAACAATCGTATTGCCCTTCTGTTCGTAGTATTCAGCGTGTTAGGTGTAGTCTTCTGAAATCAGAGATAGGTTCACGACCTTCTGTGACCTGGAAATTTGACAAGTATATGTGTCCTTCAAATTGACCATCTCACACTGTTTATGGTAGTACATCTCGTGCTATCCAGCTGACCAATTTTGAAGAAATTATGCAGAGCTCAAAAAACTGTGACTATCCATTACTTTTTTTAATTATTTTCTTTTCACTATAGCTTGATTCCACACCGTATTTTTGGTACAAGTATGTAATTTTCAGCATGTAATATCGGTAGCCCAATTTTGCAGGCCACCCATTGTTATCAGGTGTGCCTCGGTAGGGAATCGAACCCCGGACAATGTGCGTGGTCAGCGAGAGTCCTTACCGGTGTGCCACCGACGCAAGTGAATATCCAAATGCAAGCATTCCAAATATACGTTGCTTAACTTTTACGAAAGTGAACAATAAAATGAGGTTTTGATCAAGAATATATTCTCTAAAATCTTAAAATAATTTCCTGAATAAAAGATAACTCACTTTAATAATTGCTCCTCAGCATGTTTCTTCAAGGCTAAATACTTTCTTTCTTGACGTTGTAGTAAATTTTTATACTCCTCAATACTGTGTTTTAAGGCCTCCTCATTCTGAGAAATTATAAAGAAAAATGGGGAATACTATTAGAAACTGCTCAACATTGGCGTAGTTATTTTGTGTGTCTGTATGTATGAATAAAACAAAACTAGTACTTACTCTAGGAGATTACTAATAGAAAACCTCCGTTGAAGATGTTGTCTAGAGGGGTCACGGAAGCTCCCCTATTGAATAAACCAGCTCAGAGAACACAATTAATTCAACAAAACAGTGTGTATCATGATAAAATTTAGTAGGCTAATTGTTCTTATAACTCGTAATCATAAATTGTTCGAGGGAAATTAATTGTTTGTTACGTCATTTTAATTCCTAATTGTAATTTTTACTAATTTGACCCCTAACCAGAAATTATTCTGGAACTTTCCTATCCATTTGATATAAATACACGAATGTACAGCCTAGATGATGACTTCGTCGAAAAGAAAATTTTCTTCGCTGCAATTGTCTTTTTATTAATTCTGATGAAGATAAACGAAGCTACTTACTATTTAATGAGTAGTATAACTCAAATAACAAAATAAACCCAACGTATTATTTCTCATCTGATTGTATTTGATTGATAACACTATTATTTCTGAATGTACTTTATCTTATATTGATTTTATTCAAATGCCTAATCAATTTTTACTTATATATATATAAATGAAGCAAAAAGTTGTGTGAATGACTTGATATGATTATGAGTGGCAATAATTTGTGCTCTAAACGTGGTCATCAGTTAATATCACTGTACAACACTTTGTGATTTTATCAAAATAAAGTCATACTCTACCACAGTGCCCAAGTTTAATACTTATATCAAAGAATCTGAAGTGCTATTTTGATTAGGACTAGACTGTAAGATACACGTTTCGTCTAATTTCACTATTCGTCAAATGGATTCACCCGCTTCCGCAGCCATTGTTGGTGATTCCGCTAAGTTTTTAACTCAGTATCCATCATTTTAAAACGCTAAAGCTATCGGTTCACGAGTCCCAAAAGTAGGGTGAAATGTATGTCCTGGACTCTACCGCTAGACACTATCAACTAAAATGATTTGTGAGTACAATATTATTTAGGTGAAATTCAGATTAAACAGATAGAAAACTCTCAATAATCCAGGCAAGATATTTTAGAAAACTCTCTGCTATTTATTAATTATAATAATATGTTTGTTTCCAAAGTAGGTTTTTTATATCCCAAGCTATGAGCCACACTTATTGTACGACAGTTGCCCAGATTTAAGTAGGTATAGTGGGATTTGAACCTGGGACTTACTGGATGAAAGTCGACTGCTCACAACAACAGTATACTGCCGCCTAATATATCATCCATCCGATCAAGTAATCAAACCATTAATAATGCGACCTAAGACACTACTACCAAATTTATTTGAAAATGTAGTAGCGAAGTAATGTAGCCTATAAGAAATGATAACCATTGAGAATTTATTGACTGTATATTGTGAATCTTATTGTGTAGTGTGTGAACGATATTTACTGAGAGGTGTTCTGTTATACTATCAGTCCTTCAACTCATGATAAAACGTCTCGAATTTTCTCCGCTCACCAAGCGATGACTAGATGACAATAATCCACACATAAGATAAGTATAGTATAGTTTGTCGTGTAAAGCATGAGACTGTATTGTATTATCAAGGTCTGACACAGTTTGAACTTTTTTGATGCCATGAAATTCTGACTTCACACCTAATCTTCATACGACGGCATATGATACTATACTACTACTTGATATCATCTCGTCAACTGGGTACTATAAAGATATAATGGAGAAGATTTGTAGCTCAGGTGGATGATTTTGATGCAGTTGTGTTCTCTGAGCTGGATGGTTTATTTGCAAAGCTTTCATTGAGACATTTACAGTTTCAAATGAGCTTTTCGATTTCTCCACGAGTTTATTGGTCATCTCTCCTGGTGACCTTGAACGTGATTGGTTACTTTTGTTTTCACACCCTCCAGGCTGCTATATATATATATATATATATATATATATGAATATTTTGTAGTCCACAACAACTGCTAACTAACGTGTGGGGAAAATTATGAATAAACCCGAAAAACACGTTTTTTTAAAATATAAAACAGCTGTCTATTAAATTTTTCTTCAATATAAAGCAAAAAAACAGACGATTAAAATATGATAATTGATACCTTGTATTTTATATTATCTCTTGACAAGCTTAGTTAGTTATTTAATTAGACATTTAATCTGAACAGCAGGAGATATAAATTGAAATTTCAGAGAACAGGTTGCAGTGAAGCGGACAAAAAACCTTTTATCCATGCAACAGAATCGATAATACTGAATGCAGAAAAACACATGCCTTATGTAATACAACAACACCTTTCGATACAGCCTTAATTTTAGTCTGTAACTGTGTGTCTATGTGAAGTTCTGACACAGTGAGTGATTAAGACATTCGACTTTCAGTTAGTTGTATGAAGAATTCATACATATCAATGAATCCTGTATTATTTTGGGCACCTATGCCTTTCATGATTTATATATTTATCACCTATCACACACCGGTGAACTTTTCTGACCTCCCCCGCGGTTTTCTTTCTAATCAAAGTTTGAGCAGGCAAATGATATCAACAACCACCAGTGAACAATTACCAATATCTGTACACACACAGGCTGCATTACCCACGAAATTATTTCACTGATTGTTAAAAGGCCTGTTAAAGGCAAACAGCACAGTAAATATACGAACTGATAAGAGGAAGTATGAGATGAAAAGATTTTATTTCGAATTCCCCTTAGCGATACTCTTCATAAACAGGAAGTGTGTAGCACAGAGATTTGACAGCGGTGTTTTGTGTTTTCCTAAGACATTCAGCAAGTAAGATATGCTGTCCTCCATTTTGGTGACGACTGGAAACTAGTAACGAGTGCGATGTGTCTAGTCCTTTGTTTGTTGCAGACTGAATTCTATCAGTACACTGATTCGTCAGCACTTATATACTAATAATATAGTATATATATTAGATAGTTGGAGGCAATCGGCCACAGGAAGCCTTGCTCAACCTAGGCTTCGGTGCTAGTTGGCACTCACCAGTCAGCGAGACGTATCTGCAACCTCGAAGGAACTCATGTCCCTTCTGAGATTCGAACCCGCGTCACCCAGTGCTACCTGCAGTCAAAGACGTTACCACGGGCTCGCGATTGAACTCCTGTGAGACTGTATTGGATATTTTGATTGGACACTAGTCAGTAACTAGTGCGATGTGTCTAGTCATTTGTTTGGTGCAGACTGAATTCTATCAGTCAAGTTTGTAATGTGGCCACCATTCTAGGTAGCTCACCATCAGTCCTACAGGAGGTCAATCGCGAGCTATCCCGAAAAGCTCAGTGGTAACGTCTCTGACTGCAGGCAGCACTGGGTGACGCGGGTTCGAATCTCAGAAGGGACATGAGTTCCTTCGAGGTTGCAGATACGTCTCGCTGACTGGTGAGTGCCAACTAGCACCAAAACCTAGGTCGAGCAAGGCTTCCTGTGGCCGATTGCATCCAACTATCTTATATATATACTAAATTATTAGTATATATTAATATATATATAAGTGCTTGGAAATTTCAATTTGGGAATTTCCTGTTCCTGGGCAACAAGTCTATTTGAATTCTAGTTTAAATGTAGTCGAAATCATCTGGATATCTTAGAAACACGTCAACACTTTCAACCAAATAAAGATTACTTAAATAGTGATGAATAACAACAATACAACTCAATAATATTTGCAGCTGCATGTAGTAAGCTATGTGCCATATTTGAATTAACTGAACAGACCTTATGTAGACGAGTCAGGATGGCGTAAAACAACAACTAGCGACCAGCTATGACGTCTGTAGAGTGACATTTAAAAAGGTAACACTCAGAATGAATCAAATGAAAAAAAAGCAAGTCAAGTAAAATCATTTCCCGCGGAAAAGTATTTTCTTCAACTACTGTCATTTTGTCTTCCAACGTCGAAGTTAGGAGTACATTTGTTAAGCACATTTATAGACCTCATTATAAAATCATTAGGTACTACACTGAAATTTATTGTAATAATAATAATAACACACCTGTTTAAATCCTTCAATAATTTGTTTTGATTTTTCAAAGCGTCTATGTAAATCACCAAAAGCTTTTTCAATTGTAGCCAATTCTTCGACAGCTTCATCGCGTTCTTTAATTAAATCAGCCACGGATACATTAACGTGTGTTTGACTGTGAGCTTTCTCTTCAACCATATGCTGTAAACTGCGATCATACTCTGTGATACAATTTCTATTAAAATAGACAAATAAAAGGTAAACAAGTTTCAGGTAGTTTCAAAAAAAAGCTTTTATTTTAAACAAATATAATAAAAGAAATTTGACTGATATAACAGGATTGTCGATCAACCGTTCAATATGTATACTTTAGTACGATAATGTGTGCGTCGGTAGCACAGCGGTAGAAAGCTCGCCGAAGAAGCATGCAGTCCGGGGTTCGATCCCCGGGTCGACGCACTCCTTTACCTCGATAAGTCAGTAATTAAACTGGTAAAGAGGGAAGGTTGGGCATGAGGCCAACAACCCCCATCCTGTAAAAATAAACACCACTGCTATCGAAACTTCAAGCCTCTAGCTTAAAGCCCTATGTTCCACTCGGAACGTGAAGGAATAAAGAGAAAAAAGTACGATAATAGTATGAAGCTACGGTTCATTGCTTTTCAAGAAATGAAATCTAGTATCAATTCTCGAATAAGTACAAAATATCATAATTGTTTTTTTTCAAATTATTTTATTCCTTTACTCTCCCAGTGGAACATAGGGTTTCATGGTAGAGGCTTGAAGTTTCGGTAGCTGTGGTGTTTAGTTTTACGGGGTGCAGTTGCTAGCCTCATGCCCAACTTTCCCACTTTACCGTTCTTATTACCGGCTTATCGAGGCAAAGGAGTGCGTCGGTGGCCGGGGATCGAGCCCCGGACCACATACGTGGTTGGCGACAAAATATCATAAAGCTTCACATATTACCTAAATCATGCATGGACTTCTCCATCACGTTAAAAAGTCGCATCACAAATCACAATAGCATTCAAATCGAAAAGTTTTCTTATTTCTCAAATAGATAAACACGAACAATATAACAGCAGCGGAATAAATGCCATTAGTCGAGAATAAAATGAAAAAAAATAAAACAGTGTAAAATTCAATGTAGGTACAACAAACAATTTCAAGCACTAGCATTATATTATTATTGTTCCCTTGGATTCCTAGTGGAACAAAGGACTTCAACTACACGTCTCCACTTGCTTCTGTCTTCTGCTGTACTTTTCACCTGCATCCATGTTAGTCCATACTGTTTCAACTCTTCTTTACACGATCTCCTCCATATCACCCTGGGACGTCCCACTCGCCACTTCCCTTTCGGGTTCCACTCGAGGGCCTGTTGCGCGATGTCACCCAGTGGCCTCCTCAGCGAGTGTCCAATCCATTTCCATTTTCTCCTGCGTATTTGTTGAGCGATTGGTTCTTGTTTTGTTTGTTCCCATAGTTTCTTCTTGGTGATTCTTTCCAGCCATCTGATCTTCAGTATAGAACGAAGACAGCTGTTCAAGCAGTAATATAAGTTTAACTCTGCTATAAGACGAACAATCTCTTTCAAAAATTTGCGATCGTCTATTGCTTTCCTAAATGATTTTTAAAATCTCATCATTTTTTAGTCAATTAATTTTCTCTCAGAATTTACATTAACGCAGATAGTTTTATGAAAAAATAAAATACAAGATAGAAAAACAAATCAAATCCTTACAAATCAACCCTTGAAAATTAATCTGATGCTCGCTAGTGACTGGCTACAGGATGGAGTTTCCTAGAGTTCTAGTGAGAAGTCGTGACCAGTGAAGTCCATCTAATTGGGAGTAGAGATGGATTTCCCACTGATGACATTGGATGGTGGTCTCACTAAAAATCACGAATTGGTAGAAGGCAGAATTCATGAGTTAGCCATTGGATCGGGTCCCAGTGGCTGAGTGGTATACGAGCTTCCCTTGGTACCGGAAGGTCCTGGGTTCGAACCCTGGAGGTGGGTCTCAGTAGAGGTGATGTTGATTTTACAAGATGAGATTACTAGCCTCACATAGAATCCCTCCTCTTCCCTAGTATTATTGTCGGTAAGTAAACAACTACGCAAAGTTTATAGGGGAATCGACCGGGTATGGAACCCCAGACCCCCCCCCACTTGAGTGCTCGGCAACCATTAACACCACTGAACTACTAATGCACTTCTATGCGCATATTAATAACTTATGATGACTGATTCAAAATAAAAGAATTGGCAGCAGGGTTAATGTAATAGTTTTAGAGGAATTTAAAGGAAAATGCATCAAAATACAGGCATTTTCCCCAAAGTCCTCCGAATTCCCTACAACAACCGACTGTTCCACCAGAAATTAACGTAGTTTCGTTTTAGCAATTTGAACTAAATACAGAGAATATATAATATATATATATGCTTTCAAAGTCATTTACCGCAGTATACCAACTAATCTTAACTTCACCTTATGAGTTCGTCTACTATATATTGCTGAGGCCGTTGAGATCCACAGTAAGAAACCTAACTTATGCATTCAAAAGAAGCTGGTTCATACACTGTCCTTACCTTGGCCATCAAGGTTTCAATGATGCTGAATTTGTTATAGAAATTTCCTTAATTTTATTTGATATTCTGTTTGCTATTATATTTTTGTTTTTATTATTATTATTATTAATTTAAGCATCTTCAATCAACTGTTATTCTATTGATCCTATTTAACGAATCGATATTATTTAAGAAACACTAATATTGTCATTGACTACCATTCTAGAATATTCTATGTATATAAGCATATATATATACATATAATTGTAGAGCCAGAAGAGGAAATTATCGAAAAGGATTTTTTTAGCTCAATTTTTTTGTTTTTTTTAAAATTTTATCCAAGTTTACTTTTGTCAAATTTTAACAATTGAATTATAAAAACCCCATCACTTGATAAATCACTTTAATTTTGGTAGAAAGTTTAATTTCAAACTGGTGCCGGCTGTAGATGCTGAAGTGAGAACATATTGACTGACTTTTATTCATTTAATTTGCTTAACAGCTTAACATACTGACAATAAAAATAATTCGGTTTATACAAATGCAAACTTTACAACTGTGTAACTAGAAATATCATATTTCTACAGTGAACTGCAAAACAATGTAGTACCATTTAATTTATAATCGAAATGATGAATATTAATTACAAATTCGTGTTAATTTAGTGTGCCATACTTCTAAAAAAGGGAGTTGCCGTTATTTATTTATTTATAAGTTAATTTTACCTTATGTTGGAACGAAATTCTCGCTGTTCGTTGACGTGCTGGATCCTAATACAGACGCTTCTACAATGTCTAAGGATTGACGTGAACTAGCAGTGGAATTCAGGAGGCGCATTCAGTCCCTTATGGAACTGAGCCTTTCAGCTAAACATAATCAACCAGCAGGAAATGCTGGTGCAAAACCTTGCATCCGATCGCCGCGCCTGGGCAGCGATGATTCGAGATGTTCATGAAGCCGGCTCATCCTCCCGTAGGAGATAGCCGAAGTAAAGTAAGTAAGTAAGCAGGAAATGCTAACACAAATAAATAACTGATACGCGTTAATAAACAGTGGCTCTTAAGGCCTAGAAGATAATGCTGTGGCATTTGAAACGATGGATACGGAGTTCGAGTCCCGGTGGGAACACCACTACACTCACTGGGAATGCAGGTACACCTCCAGGAAAAAAAGGAGCATCCTGGACTCCACTGCTCGTCCGTCACTACCACTAACCAAAATAAAAGTTATGCCGGTAAACAGTATAAAAAGCGATTCCTCAGATTAGCAGAAAACTGTAATAATGAAAATAAGAGTAATAATAGACAGGAGCAGTTGAGGACCATATAAGTTGATGTGTCCAAGGAGTTTCATTATTCTTATAAAGGCTATAACTGATCTTCTACACATAATACTAAACCTGAAGATAACCTGGAACTTTTGATTTTTAGACTATGAAAACACTTTCAACTACATGGATGCATATGAAACAACTCCCAAAAGCCAGGACCAATATATATATATATATATATATGTCTTATTCGAATGCTTCCAAAATTAACTCTTAAGGGTTGTTTTTAGAAATACACGACAACAAACAGATGGTTATTTATTCAAAAAGTAATAATAGCTATGGGCACTGGGTTCGAGCCTCGGTGAGAACATCATCAATCACTGAGGAATGCAGGTACATCCAGATGACAAACGAGTCCCAAATAGGACGAATTGCGCATCCTGGATTCCGCTGCTAGTCACCATTCACCAATTAACTTCTAATTACATGCCCAGACATCGTCGATGCATCCGCGCACAAGAAGCCGACATCTCAACCTGAGACCGAGTACTTCGGTTCAATCAATCGACGGGAAAATCAAAATTGAATTCAATAATTAATATGACCTGTTGCACAAAAGACAGTGGCTCTCGTGGCCCAAGTGGTCTAGTGGATAACGCTTTGGCGTTTGAAACTATGGGCACTGACTTCGAGCCTCGGTGGTAACATCATCACTCAATGCGGAATGCAGGTACAACCAGTTGACGAGTCCCAAATAGGACGAATTGCGCTTCCTGGATTCCACTGCTAATCACCATCCACTAATTTAACTTATAATAAGATAACCGTCTATTTCGCAAACCAAAAAGTAACTAACATACAAAATCCCCCCCCCCTTATAGGAATTCAAAGGAAACAATGCCAGACTACACTGTTTCATACATACCAAAGAGGGAGGACAAATATACACCGAACTGATATGCCTAACGGTACTGTTGAATGCATAACTTTTAAAAATGAAATCGGTGTTTCTATCTTACAAAACAATTACAAAAAAATAACACAACAAGTTGGACTATTGAGTACTGCTCAAGTTAAAAGTAAAAACCTTTACTTTATTTTTTTTCATTTCAAGAATCATATGATAATTTGCAAATTTCAAACTTACTTCATTTCTTCTATTGTTTTCAATAGCTGATCACGTTCCTTACGTAATGCAATCAACTCTGTATCATTTGATTTACTGTCTCGTGATACTTTTGACGGATGTTGAGGAGGTAGTTGAGCATTTTCTTTGCCATTCACTGAAGATGAATTATTACTATTATCAGTATTATTATTATTATCGCAGTTTTGTTAAGCATTCCCGATTGTGCTGGTGATGCTGGACGGGTTGATGAATCAATACGTGAAGTCTAAACAAGCAACAACAACAAAAAAAAGAAAGAATAATTAACAAAAGTCAGTTTTCAAGTTATACAACTCATAATATGCTTAGCCATTTTTTCCCTTATATCTCGTTATCTCCATATGTTTTATTTTATCGCCTTTCTGTTCTTTGTGCCGTAGTAAATCGTTATAATCTATACTGCTACATAGTTTAAGTAAGGAGGGTCTATACTCTATTATAGTGGTTTCCCTGTTTCAACAGAAACCAGTAGAAACTGAAATAAATGACAAACAATCCATTCGATTTAATGGAGGTATTCTGAGAACAGACTTTAAAAAATGTACAAGTTAAAAATGAGATATGCGACATTCGCATCAACAGCATTATGATGATCTTGAGCATTTGCATGGAATTCAAATTTTATTTTATACGTACATATAACACGTAGTTAGAGTACAATTCACATATTTTTTACACCTCAAGCAGAATTTAAGTAGTATAATCACGAGAATTGTAAAAACGGTGTGATTTCAAATAAACAAATGATCGATGCATGACCGTTAGGTACAGTAGAAATATAATAAAACGGTGGGGACATAACCAAATTATAAGTAGAACGCAAGCGGTTAATTACAACTTGGATTTCCTGAGGTGTAGTTGATTTTGTATTACGAGCCTAGAGAAATGCTGTAATCATATCAGATGTTACACGCTTGGCTGTTTTAAAGGTGTTCACACAGCTGGGACATCTGTTATTATAGCATTTGCTGTATTATATGCGAAAACATATCGCGATGGCTTTTATCTTCCCACACCCCATAATAAAACTAAACAATCCTTCATATTACAAATACTACAAACCATATTCAACAACAAAAAACAATGATCGATCAACATAAAGTAGCATAAGTGATTACTGTTCAGTGTTACGATGATGATGATGATGATGATAAAATGATTAAGTTACAAAAATCGTATTAATGACAGCAAAGATACACACACACCACGCACGCACAAGCACAAAGTTATGCAACCAATCTATTCAGTAGAAACTGATTGGTAGTGATTGACAGCCAATAACAGATGACAACGATCAGATCTATTTAATAGAATTGAGAATATATATATATATATAATATATATATATATACAGAACGAGGTCAAGATAAGGTACAAAATATTCTGAAGAAACACTCTAATTGTAAAGCGCAGCATGAGTGATTTTTAAAGTGACCTTGAAACTCAACGCAAACTAACCGTTAACCGTAATTAACCAATCGGAAACTCGGTAGTAGTAATAATAATAGCAATAGATGCAGAATGTACAGAAGTGTTCAAATTTTAAATCAATGCAGATCCCAGTGGCTGAATACTCAAGGAACTCGCCACCTTGTAACCTGAAAATGTTGGGTTCGATACCTGTTGGGGTGACGCGTGAGTACTTGTACTGCTAAGGGGTTCAAAATAGGAACGAATTAGTTGTCCAGTACGCCTTGGTTTAAGGGAGTCGATCCCCGGCCGACACACTCTCAAACCTCACTTAGCCGGCAGCAACATTCATAAAGACGGGAAGTTGAGCATGTGGTTACCAGCCTAACTCAGTGAAAAACCACAACTGCTACAGAAACTCTAAACCACAAACTTGAAGCCTTATGTCCCACTCAAACCGCAAATGAATGAATGAATGAAAAATAATACAACAAAAGGGTCAATTGCCATTTAGTGTTGAATCGGGTCCCAGTGGCCTTGTAACCAGAAGGTCCTGGGTTCGAATTCCAGTGGGTGCGTACTGCCGATGATTCCCAAACTACGATGAAACAGCAGCTGACCAGGAAGTACCCTGGTTTTCAATGCTTCTCTAACTGATATCAATCCGTGATCAACTCGTAAAAACATAACTAACCCTTACAAACCAAACTATAGAAAGTTGCCATAATAGTTGTACGACAACTTCCATAGAAAAACATTAAGCAGCATTAAAGTCCCTTTAAAAGTAAACGAAAAATGAGAATTCAAATAAAGCTGACCTACATTTTTATATACTGCAAACGAACTCACGAAGAACAATCATCAGAAAGACATGCTCTCAAGTATTACCACAAAATATGAATATTAAGCGAAGAAGAAGCATAAAATTGCGGAGAATTTAACTGAGTGATGTTCAGTGAAAATTTCCAACTTATGTCGGTTAATTGGTGTTCTAAAGAACAAATACTCTAAGTGTATTTGTCTACATGACAGTGAATTAAAATGCATGTTTTCACGTCACTAACGTCTGATAGTAAACGACATGTTGCTAGACTATTCAAGTGCATTATAGAATAAATGTATCCAAAGACTAATTCACTTATAATCCTGTCTTTTCAATTAACTTAGCAATATGCCAGTTACTTACAATTGTCACGTGGAAGGCCCGGGTTCGATTCCCGGTCGAGGAGCCAGTGCGTCGGTGGTACAGCGGTGGTTAGGACGCTCGCCGACCATGCACATGATCCAGGGTTCGATCCCCGGCCACCAACGCACTCCTTTACCTCGCAAAGCCAGGAATAAAAGCTGGTAAAGGAGGAAAAATTGGGCATGAGGCTAGCAACCCCATCCTGTAAAAATTAAACACTGCTACCGAAACTTCAAGCCACTAGCTTGAGGCCCTATGTTGCACTGGGAACGTGAAGGGAAAAAACTAAAAGAAACTAAAACAATAGTGACATAACCTGATTTTCATATGTATGCTTGAAGAAAATACCTTTTGCAATTAAAACAAAAAAAATTAACCATCTGGAATCACTCACTCACTCACGAAAAGCTCAAAAGTTGCAGTATATGTCATTAAGAACCTGAGAAATGCTTTTTAGGCTAATTATTAAAATGAAAAAACTTTCGAGAGAATTACCTCCATTTCAAAGTAACCTTCACAGGATCTGTGAAATTATTTATGAACATCTTATCACAAGAGGCATAATAAACTGAAACTTGACCAAAAACAGTCTCTATTGTAATGGAAACAATAGGAACAATTATATAATAACATCACTTACAGAGAGGAGACCAAACAATAAAGTATATTGGTATGTTCAAGGAATCAATGTCATCATATACATATATATATGATTAAAACATATTTTCCCCATGGTACATTGAGCTAATCCAGTAAGCACATGATACTATGCCTATTTTAAAGATAATCTATATGTGTATGTGTGTGTGGGTGTGTGACAGAGAGACAAAAGAATACTGCATCCTCCAATCACATTTATCCAGAAGACAAAAGACTATTCTCCATCCGTCGATAGAACATGATTACGATTGGTACAAAGTTAGTTAGTTTCACCATCATTGAAAACCCATTGTTACTAACATTTACAAACCTCCGCTTTTCCTACACATTTCTGTTGGATTCCGCCCCCCCCCCCACACACACACACCTAACTCAACTGCATTGATATAAGAATAAAACTTGTGCACTGTGGTAGAGTGTAATTCCATTATGGGTAAATTTTGTTTTGATAAAGTCTCACAGTGTTATACAGTAATGTTTACTGATGACCATGTTTCGAGCACAATTTATTGCTCAGTAAATATTACTGTATAACACTGTGAGACTTTATCAAAATAATTTTTACCCACAATGGAATTACACTCTGTACATACTTACTTATCTTCTCTGGGTCAACCATTCTTACCTTAGCTAAATTCTTATGTTCTGATAATCTGACTACCCCTGACCTACTAGTTTGACCTATGTAGTTGACCTCACTCACAGTCATTGCAGGGTATTTTGTAAATTATATTATTTTGTCTAATTGGGTCAACTGGGTCCTTTAACCTACACAGCTTGTTCTACATGAGTGAGTTTGTAGGTTTAAATGCCACCCTAATTCCTGCTTTATTTAGAATCCTACGTAGGGTCTCAGATGTCCCCTCTTTATATGGTTTAACTGTAGATGACTTATATTCTCTCTTATTTATGTTATTATTACTAGTTTCACAATTCTTTTTATTTTTCTTTTGGCCTTATTCAATCTTCCTAATGAATTTTAAAGGATAGTTATTTAACACCAACGCCTCTTCTATCTGCATGCATTAGCACACAACCACACAATAGGGTGGGAGAGGGTTAAAATTCTAAAAAGTAATCTAGGTAGGTGGAGAGAGAGGTTGATTACTGAATCCTTGTTCATCGACTCTACACCCAACACATGCAATAGGAATGATTCATCACTCATACCCGAAATATGGAAAATGTTACTACCAATCAAATCAAGTGAAAAACAATGGAACTATATAAATGAATTTAGGAAGTCGTGTGATTACCCTGATATGATTATGAGCAATAAATTGTGCTCGAAACATGGTCATCAGTAAACATTACTGTATAACACTGTGAGACTTTATCAAAACAAAATTTACCCATAATGGAATAACTCAACTGCAGTTTATACAAATAGATATCTGACATTTAACCACTAAATTGAGGAGGTGAAGCACAGTTATGCTTCTTAAAGTTTGAAAAACCAAATAAGGACAGACAGTAAATGCGCAATTAACTGTTGAACCGTTTTACTACTTTTCGTCTACGTAACTGGTAATCATAAAATTATTTTACCAATTTTTTATATAGCCAGGTGATTGATTTGAATGCTAACAGGAGGCACTGACCCATATTGGGCTCTCGACATAAATTGACTGAATAACCTTTGACCTCATACCAAATCTTCAACCAATCAAATCAGTTATTTAACCACTGAGACTGTCACACTTTTTTGACTGTTGGTAATTTATATTAGGCAAAGTATTTGTATTTAATAAAATTGTTGTTCTCACAGGCACAGGTCAGTCTTATCCTGTGATTTTTTCTCCCGAGCCCTGGCCAGAAGAAGATAGTGTATGAAGATAGTTGTGTGGTGAGAGCTATCTCCAAGACAAAATTGTAGGTACCAATTGACGTCAAGTTTACATCCCAAATCTTGGTCATGAGAAAAAACAGGAGCAAGAACTAACTCAACAACCAATCACAGTAGACTTAGC